AGCTGTTCAAAACAGAAAGTGTTGCCTTTGATAATGCTTTGGTACTGCAGGGAATGTCTAACCTTGTGTTGTGGCGTGAGCACCTGCTCTAAAATCCAGCAGAATTATATCAGGATACACGGTGGTACTTTATAGTATTTCGAATACATGGACTGGAAATACTGTCTATCCCTTATTACAGATGATGCTAGATGATAAGTGAGGCAGAATCCAATCCAAGGGTATATCAGGTCAGCCCAGCAGTGGCTCTTGGGAAGTCTTGGGATTTACAATTCCACTCAGCCTTAACCACTAACCCACCACTTCCCACTGTGGCTGTTCTCCTGACCAATCTTTCCATCTGTTTCCGTCCACTGTATTTGCATCAACAAGGTAAGAACATGCAAGACTTCATGAAGGCCTGCCCTAGTTTTAAGTTGCCTGTCTTCATGATACAATTCTAATGATACTAGCAATATTGCGTTATCATTATGTATTCTCACTTTTCACATTGAACTTAGTGTGAGTTCTATTCTTCCTCCAGGCGGTCACTCTGAGTTATAACATGAAGGCTGATTCTTTTCATCTCGTCATTATGCACAGATCACCTGCTGCTCAGTTGACGCTCATTACCCGTCTTGATGTTGTGCATTGTTCAACAGTATTTTTCCATGGACCAGGTATGTGTGGTCAAAGACAGGATCAAACAGCGCAGTGCTCCAGTGAAAAGCTCTGCATCTGACAGCGCTCGGCAAGGGAGTTTGCACTGTGACTTAAAATATTAAATAGAAACAGGCAGAATTAGCATAACAGCAATACCTGAGTCATGGAAAATGCTAGCTACAATGTCCTAGGGCCTCAGAGCTATTGGGAAGTTTCAGAGTTTCTTCTGCTCTGTTCAATCAGAGGTTAAAAGTTCTCACTCTATGGGTTCTGTCACTGGAGGCCCCAAATGTTTTATTTTTAAGCACTGCATCATAAGAAGAACTTGGGGCAAGGTTAGACTTAAAATTTGGGCCAAAGTCCAACCATGGTGGTCAGTCTTGGTATTTAAGGAAGAACTCGAGATGCACTGAAAATTATCAACTCATTTATTTATTCATTCAATTTTATTAACCACTTCATCCTGGTTAGGGTTTTGGAAGGTGGTGGACCTCTGATGGTGACTGGGCAGGAGTTTGAAATTCCAATCAGATCTCACCTTATGTATAGAAAAAGTAAGATTATCGCATATATCATTACAAAATTGTTTAGATGTTTACAAGACGGACATTTACCTCATCGGCACCATTAAAATCAACTCTAGCCTATGCGTCTCGCCTCAGATTACACTGTGGACAATAAACTGGGCAATGCCTGTTAAAGGTGAAACATGATTGGACCTTACTGTTTCTGTGATGCAGTAACTATCAGTTTACACTGCAGGTGCAAGCAGAAAATGAAATTTTTTTTTTTACCCTTAACAAGTGTGGGTGCTGGACTACCGTTCATTTTAACCCAGTGAATCTGGAGCCTATCCCCAGAACATTGGGTGCAAGCCAGGAATACACCATGGAGTAGGTTACGTGGTAAGACATTGATGCGCCAATGCACCTCAGTCTCCTTATTATAAAATTCATATTTTTGGCACATCATTATCCATCTTAAAGCCAGAATTTTGGACTGCAAGTTTGAGGCCGAGGAGCTTTGGTGCAAATGAACCAAAGGCATTAATGAACTGGGGAGAACAATTCCCCACCATGTAAGCACCATCATCATTGAAGTCATTATCTACTAGACAGTACTTGTTTTCTGAAGGTCATGTCCCAATTCATTTATGCTCTGATGGACAAGAGACTCCATTATTTTAAAATTTTTGGTTAGGTTAAATTTCACAACATTGCATCATGAAGCAAAATCTTTCTCTATTTTATCTCTATTAAATCATTGCTCATGTATATTATATGCTCATTTATATTATATCATATCGAATGCTCGGGCCCTTTTACCCCAAACTTGTTTTGGTGTGAACAACTTAAAAGTTTTCTTTAGCTCAGTTTGCTTTGACAGAACACTCCACTTATGCTGTAATGGCACCAATCAAATATATGTTGGTCCACTAAGATCAGTCTTGGTCCTTGTCCAAAGGGTTCCTTGTTTCAATCCTGAGCTTGGGTTAGTGTTTGTGTGGAGTGTCACATGTTCTCTCCATGTCTGCATGGGTTTCCTCCAAGTTTTCCAGTCTCCTCCCACCTGCAGGTGGGTTGATGTCTCTAAATTGCCCTTAGGTATGAATGTGTGTGCAAGAACTGGTGTCTCATCAAGGGTTTCATGCCCAGTATTCCCAGGATGGGCTCCAGATCCGCCGAGTACTGAAGATGAATGAATGAACGAATGAATAAAAACTGGCGTCCCATCCAGGATATATTCCCACTTCATGCCCGTTATGCCCGGGATTGGACTCTGGATCCACTGGTTACTGAAGCTGAATGAATGAATGAATGAATGAATGAATGTTGAAGTGGCATCCCATCTAGGATGTATTCCCAATTCATGCCCAGTGTTCCTGGGAATGGGCTCCAGATCCACCAGTTACTGAAGCTGAACGAATGAAAGAATGAACGAATGAATGAATGAATGAACGAATGAAGAACTGGCTTTCAATCCAGGATATATTCCCACTTCATGCCCAGTATGGATCCAGTGATTACTAAAGCTGAATGAATGAATGAATGAATGAATGGATCCAGTGGTTACTAAAGATGAATGAATGAATGACTGAATAACTGCATCCTATCCAAGCTGTATTCCCGCTTCATGCCCTGTATTCCCAGAAACCACCTGTTACTGAAGACGAATGAATGGGCAAATATCCATCCTCTTCATCTAATAACTTTTGAATATTCTGTGGAGGCCAATACAGGGTTATAGTGTTGATAACAAAATGCAGCCATTCCATAACAAAGGCTCAGGGTCATGGTGGCTCCAGAGCCTAGTCCAGGAATGCTGGGTGTAAGGCAAGAATACAACTTAGAAACCCTAGAGATCCTAATTGAGAAAACTCTCAGAGTTCTTGTTGGTGTTGGTGAATACTTTATTCAGTTACATTTTACTAGACTTGGTTTGAAGTTATTGTTGCGGTCAACACTCCTGACAAACGACATAATTCTTCCTTGGCACCTTTGCTGCTTGAGTGCACAAACATGATTAACAACACAAAAGAAAAATATATCCCATGACACAACCCTACTTAAACACACACTCCCACAACTGCTTATTAAGTTATGCAGTGCCAGTCTATTTCTGGTGCTCAGAAAACTGTAGTGCCATTATCCCCCAGTTTGGTCTATTTAATTTTTTTACTGTATTATATCATGAGCAAAAGTAGCTTGTTGATAATATGATTATAATTATTGGTAATATTTATGATAATATGATGATGTGACATCTCCCTCATATACACACACTTTCCCAACACACACATATTATTCTGATTAAACCTACACTTTGTACATTTTTATCTCGAATATCTCGCCATTACCAAGAACATGCCTACTCTATCTTTATCTTTATAAAAAAAAAATTTGCTTCCATCTCTGTGAAGACAACTCTGTGTGTCTATTTAAAAACCTGACAAAAAGCTCACCTCCAGAACTGTCTGTGAGCTGTTTGTGGCTTAAACAATCATCTAAGAGCCTTCACCAACTATGCTACCTTTGGAGCACACCTCAGAAATGGATATTAGTTTTCACAAAGTGCCTTCCAAACAGCTGGTTCCTATTGTGCTGTTGAGTTATTGCTGATGCTGCCGTGGCTAAAACATTTTCATTTTAGTTCCTGGGCCTAATTAATGGAACAACACTAATGTACATCAGAAGCCAATTATTTTAATATGGCGCCTCAGACTATAGGCGTAGGTCTGATGCTTAAGTCAGGAAAACACGAAGCAGTTCCATTGTGTATGGAAATTAATAAATGCAATAACACAATTATTTAGAGTACATGATGGTTGGAAAATAATCATGGGTTTTTTTGTTTTTAATTTGTTTGTCTCCAATTAACAGCGACTGTTAAAGTAATTGCGTTTTTAATGATATTGTAGAGTGAAATTGCTTTTTTTTATTTATTTTTTTTGCTCCGTAGGGAACAACTGGCCCGGGTTTAAAGACAAATCCTGTTGTTGAAAGTGCTTTATTGTGTTCATCAATTTTATCTTATCGGTAATAAACATGATGGTGTCCTTTTTGACCAAGTGCCCGAGTTATAGCAGTTATCTCTGGATTAAAGGACAAAAATTGAACCATTGTTAATGAGCAGTAGACATAAGTGGGGACATTTTGCAGGATATCAGTGAGATTGTACTAACTAGCCACCATTAGCTTTTATTAATTATTTAAGCTTAGTATTAGCAGGGGTGGATGATAATAAATTATTAATTTATTAGCTATGCCCACCATAAAAGTAAACGCTTCAGTGTGTTTGCTCAGTCTCATATTATGCTTAACCACTGAACCAGTCTAAAGTTTTAACTCAAAACTGTGGAAAATAAGCAAGTACTAGAATCCCTGTGAGGGGGAGACTTTATGCAAGCATCATCTTTACCCTCCCTGGATAATGTCTCTGGTGATGAAGCATCGTGGTTGCGTCCTCAACAAAAAAAACGCAAGCTGTGCTGTTTTCTCATCGCACGTAAAGACGTTATTTGATCTCGAGCGTCTTCATTTTCACTCGATGAAGTGAAACGGGGAGTGACTGCATGTTGTGCTCACATTAGAGTCTTATAACAGCATTTGTGCTGCACTCTGTTGTATTTTGCTCACTGCTGATTATGGAAATAATGTCTAGTAAGCATTCAAGTTACTTAATAGACCTAGTAAAAAAAAAATAAAAAAAAAAGCTGGACCATGTCCTCGGTTTGTGTGTGCAAACCAGTAGGAGGCAGGATTCAGAAAAGTGTAGAAGCACTGAGGTGCTTTACACCACCGAATAATATACCATATGTACACCAATTTGGACGTAATACACTTATAGTCAGTAAAAGGCCCCCGGAGGTCTATTGGTTAGGCCTTGGCGCACTCATCGCTGTGTCCTGGGTTTGATTCCCTGCCAGGGAAGCAACCCCAGCCACTGGGGGTGCACGAGACAGCCTGGATAAAAACTGGGGAGGGTTGCGTCAGGAAGGGTATCCGGTGTTTAAAAAAAGAAACCATGCCAAATCAGATATGCGGACCAATGATCTGCTGTGGCGACCTCTAATATGAGCAGAAAAGCAACGACAACATTTAAAGTCAATAGAGGCTTTTCTTGCTTAAAAGAAACCGTGAATGAAAAACCCCTGGTAGCCCAGATATGTAAACTGCTTGTCCCAGATACCCAGGCTAGCAATTTATCCACCACTGATTTTAACCATACTGTATTACTTCAAAGTCTGAGACTCTTCAGGAGAAACAGGAATATAATTATGAGTAATTCAGGTAGCGTAGGACTGTAAATAGACAGTATCTATAAGGGATCAGCTAGCATTAAACCAATGGTATTGCGTTATCAGCTACCATCAGCTTTTATTAGTTATCCAACTCTACATTAGCATTAGCAGTGTACATTTATCAGTCATCTATTTATCTCATGATGTCATGTGATATTTCACCCTTTAATTCTAGCATTGTAGTATCTTTAAGGGGTCTGTTAGCATTAAACCCGCAGCATTGTGCTAATCAGCCACACAGTATTCGCATTTTGAAAATGAAAAGCTAATGGCTGATTAGCATATAGCATACTCATTCTAAAATATAGGGGTGAATTATTTCATTACAGTTTGAGATAGCTGAACAGTCTTATGTGGCTAATAATTACTAAAAGCCTATGGAGGCTGATCAGCAAAATTCCATTTAGTGTATTGTTATCTGGTCCTTTATAGATGCTAACAATGCTAAAAAAAAAAAAAAAATTAGGGGGTGAAATATTTCACTACAGTTTAATAAGCTAATAGATTTAACATTATTATCTTATTATTAGCACTATAACTTGTCAGATAGATAATATTACATCAAGAGAATTGTGCTAATCAGCCACTATTAGCTTTTATTTACCACACAACATAGCTTTTAACAGGGATGCTGTATAAAAATGGGTTTGTACAGTTATCTGTGGTGTTAAATGATATGTGTAATTGACTATTTCAAGCTAGGCTGAAGGTCAGTTAATTAGGGTCAGTTAGCGTCATACAACAGAGACAATTAGCTTGCATTATTTATTAGCCAGATTAGCCTTTAAGTATAGAAAGTATTGCTTTAATGATGGGATGCTCTAGAGAAACAGGATGTGTATAGTTGTTTATGGGGTAATGTGGTATGATATCATGCTAAAATCCAAATTTTTTTATTGAACAGAAGCTAAAATAGTTATAGATATCATTGCTACCTGAACTGTGCTAACTGCCACCAATTATCCTTCATTAGCAGTTATCAATAATAGCACTGATGACCACATAGCATTGCTTAAATCATGGTTATTCGAAGTGAATCAAGGTTGCTGTTCATGCGGCAGGATTAAATTTCACAACTGTTGGCTATCAAGTACCCTTAAATTGTGTTTCTAGTTTAGTGTTTTGTAATTGGGTAGGGTAAGAGGTGAACAAGCTGCCATTAAAGGAAAATGCCACCCTGAAACACATTGTCTGTGGTTATATTTAGTGAATTTGGTGCTAATTTGTTGGTTGGTGCTGTTGTTCGGTGATTTGTTATTCCTGTGAGATGTTAGCGGTTGTGTGCGGCACTGGTTTCACGGGTTAACACAGTTACAATGCCATTTAACAGGTATCGACCTTCTCAAATGTAAGAAATAATGGATGCTTCGCTATTAGTGCCGAAAAACAAAAGGTCAAGAGCTTCTTTTCTCACTTACCATTTTCCAACATTCAATATCACATTAATGAGAAATCCAGCGTTGAAGCAATGGACACATTGCAAACATTAGACTCAAAGCTGTACTGAGTTACAGCAGAGACGCAGATAGTTAGTGATCTAAGAGATGATGAGCATGATGGTGGTGATGGTGGTATTAGCATGAAAGTAAAGGCTTTGAAAGCTGATCTGTATGAGCAGAATGTACAGATGAGGAGGTGAGAAAGCTGGACAGACCAAAGCGCCGCTGCATCACTGTCTTTAGACAGAAATGTTACTTACCTTACCCCAGAAATGGGAAGTTGGAGCTCAGAATGACATCATTTTCAAGCTCCATGCATTTCAGGTACAAAGTGGGGGGAAAAACATGGACGCCACCATGTTTGTTTTTTGTTAGCAACAAGCTAGCCAGCTAACTGTGAGGAGTAATGTATATTTTCCTCCTTAAAAAAATGATCCGTATAGTCAATGTTCGAGATTTAACCAGAGAATATGTCTGTATGTTAATTGATCTAAAGCAAATACTTGTATATACAGAGTAACTCATTTAATGATAAGATGTGCTACTTTGTTTACTGCTGATGCTGTGAGCAGCCATGCTGATTTGGCATCACTTGCTGAACTCGGAAGAACTTTGAGGAGTTGAGGAGACCATCCCAAGTTCCCGAGTAGTAATTCGGAGTTTTCTTTGGGTTTTTCCTGCTCAGAGGTTGGGAATTATGATTTAGGACCTTTAGTCAGATGCGGCATTAATCGCAGCGGCACCACTATCAGCAGGTATTCTAACGGCATTGTGGGTAATGGAGGAAAATATTTACCCACGTGAAAATAGAATTTCAGAATATCATTACAAAATAAATCTTGGACACCATTAAAGATGACATGGTTATATTTATAAAGCTTAATATGCAAGTTATTCATTGTGGATTTTTTTGAAGTTCAGCGTAAGTAAAGCGATTGTTCTTTTGTTCAAATATTGAACATCCTACACAGTGAAATTGTTATTGTGTACTTATTGTGTACTAATGTCTTTTAATCTCATCTCTTAGATGGCTGTGACGGTCCACTGGTGTCCGATCTCCCGCAATCAGCCTTCAGGAGTTCATCTCAGCTGTCCAACAGCCACGGACCCGGCTATGCCAAACTCAACAGGAGAGATGGTGAGTACAGTGTTCTGTTTACTATCAGCTCCATCGCATAGCTTTTCAGTCATCCAGGTTAGTTTGACAGTTTCCTTGCAGTAAGTCACTGTGAATGATTGTGTTTGTTAAACATTTTGTCGTTTTTTCCGAAGCCTCTGAAGTGATGCTGAAATTTGCTCAAGGTTGCCTTTCCTTCCTACTGGACACCTGTTTATTATCCGCATTCTTCTCATTTAATCTTGTTGCTTGCTTGGAGTGTCCAGAGGACAAGATGGGAGTCTTACACACTTAGACTGCTTCAGCTGAGCAGATTGCATCATGCGTTACACAGATCTGGGGATGTTTCCCCATGAAATCATGTTGCAACTGGAAACCTGTTCAGTTCATTTGAAAACTTTCTCAGTGTTTTTCTAGCTGAAATCATGGGAGGCTTCATTTTGGGCGTCAGATTGTTTGCATGTCATTAACCATCTTAAAGCGGATTATTTTTGGACTTTTGTCGAACCAAGCTCAACAGTGCCACCAATGGTCATTTAAAAAAAACAAAAAAAAAAACACCAAATGGTATAAAGAAGAGGCTGGGGCTGATTTCTTTCTTGTCCAGGCTGTAGACTCATGCAGTCTACTGAGTTAAATATGCACCTTACCAACTTCAGATGCTGAACAAAGTCAATTTTTTGTTAACATTCTGTGCCAGCAAAAGAAAGGAATATGTCATTACTCTACTCATTACTCTACTCAGTGCCTTGTTAGGCATAATTTTGACGAGTACTTAGAGAGTACCTCAAAATTGCGTGTTTATTGTGTTAATCCATTTGTGCTGAGCCATATAGTGAATACGACTTCCCTTATTATCAAACACTGCAATGAGGTGTAGAGGCATTTGCTGAATAGCAGTAATGAATCCAACCTCTCTCTGCATTAGTGTAGGATAATGCATGGACTCAGTGGGCTCATTTTCCATCACCCAGGCTATAATTGCATTATGTATACATGTTTCTACCTGCATGTCAGAAATTCTGTAAATGTCACTGACTCGGGTGAGAGGGAGGCGTAATTGTTTTTGCCTACGGATGCCGTCATTTGAAAGGATCTGGATTTATTTCAGGGTCCATTCGAATGTGTCGATTTCTGGTTCTAGCTAGTGAGCTCTATTCTTATTTCCTTACTAGCACACGCAAAAACACACACACACATATACAACTCTCCACGGGATGAAGTGCAGCACACTTCAAAGGCAGGTTTCTGCAATGCTGCTGAAGCCTGGATGTGAAAAAACAAAAAGGAAAATGTCACCTTTTCCTCCTTACACATGTATTTCCTGGCTGGAGGCTTCTGCTAATGCATCACTAAACTCTAGGCCAGTGATCCTGCTGATCCTGGAGAGCTACCTTTCCTCAGAAATCAGTTTCTTACCTAGAATTCTGTAGGAAGGAAGATTTTCAGGAATTGCTGGTCATTGCTCTAGGCATTCTGCTAGCTTGAATTGAACAATAAAATCTATACAGTAGAACTATCCAGAGAACAAAGATTGTTGCTCTGGGGCAAAATGAAAAAATTATAATAAATATTTTGTGATATTTAGGAAAACTGGTTGAGAATCAGATTTGTCCAAGTTTGTTTCCACATAGAAAGGAGATTGTTTTAGCCAGTGCAAACACAACAAATGTGATTTAAATATTCATTTCAAATATGAATAGAATCATTAATTAAGTTATTAAACTTAAAATATCAACGGACATGTAATGAACATGATTTTAAACAAATAAACTTGTAGAATAATAAATTGTTTCATTTTTTTAATGCCCTAGAAACTACTAAAATGGCCTAGAAAATCTCTACAACCTCATTAAAAAAAGAATATGCATGACTTTGCAAAAACACTCACATGCTCCTAGCAAGCAAAACTAGCTCAGATTTGAGGGACACACACGTAGGATTTCGGTATCCAGAGTCCCAAATTGCAGATTCATATTTCAGCGGTGTATCTAACATCAATCAAACCTTACAAGATGAACTAATAATAAATCATATTTTGCTTATCACTTATATTAGTTAGGTTAGCAAGCT